ATATACTCATAATATAGTTATTTTTTCATAAACTTAATATTATTACAAGTATTCTTATACAGTTATACATAATTATACCATAATTGATGGATGAACCAGTTAAGTTCAACTCATTTTACATTGTACGATTTACTGTAAGCCTAAAAATATAAGTTTAAATCAAAGAATCAGTGAAGTGAATATGAATTAATGGACTTGACTGTAAGCTGCCTATTTCAAAATGTGGTTCAACTGATTTTGACCAGCGACTTCGCTCTTTATGATCATAGAGATATGTCATCAATCGTAGTTTATTTTGAACAGCTAGGAAGATCGAAAAAGAAGTACTGGATAGAGGCGAGGGAGAAGAAGCATAGTCTAAATTAAATGTAATGACAGTGAAAAATTTACATAATTAAACACAGGTAAATATAGGTGTATTAAATGTAATGAGTCAAATACCTATAATAATCGTCGAAAAAGGGTCAGTACCACAGTAGTCAGTAAGTTGGGCAACAGACTTGTTTGATATGAACTATTGTTATCATTGTAAACATTGCCATAGTTGTAAATGGCTGCCAGCGTCATTGATAAGAAGAAGTCGGGTATCTAGTTATTATATATATCTGTGCTCCCTTTACGCTGCCATTTTTGTTTTTATCATCAAATATTTGATATTTTGATTAAGAAGGGGTATAAATGACGGTAAAGCACGATTGAGCATCTTAGATCATATACTATGGATGGAGCCACTGCATATTATTTTGAAGCCGATATTAGCGACGAGTCACCGAATTAGGTGATCGATATGCGCATGCGCGAAACAACTCGTTTAATATTAATATTATAACTGTCCCCATCCCAGCCGAGTCACCGAATTAGGTGTTCGATATGCGCATGTGCAACGCAACCTCTCGCATATTTATCAGCTGGTGATTATAATATTAATATTAAACGAGTTGTTTCGCGCATGCGCATATCGATCACCTAATTCGGTGACTCGTCGCTAATATCGGCTTCAACTTTTTGTATTGCTATAATACGCAGTGGCTCCATCCATAGTATATGATCTAAGTTGAGCATATACCTTTTTAGCAACACGATTGAGCATAGAATATTTTATGCGATGTTGCCACATTCACGTGGTTGAAATTTTGTAATTTATTATTTTCACGTATTATTACACCAATTATTATGATACCAGACACGAGCCGTGGGCTGAGCCCAGATTTATCGACAATATTATAGATTAATAAATTAGTTCCGGAGCAATAAAGTTCTGACGTTTTAAACATTTAAAATTGGGGGAAAATATAAGATATTCAATTAAGATACAATTCCAAAATTATTATAGATATAATATCTGTGTTCGATCACCCATTCTTGACTTATAAACCATGCAGTATTATTTTTAATTCGTACCATATTTTGATTTTATTATTTTCATAACTATTATTATTATTATTGTTAAACAGATTTATGAAATGTGACTATAGTATATTGACTATGAAACCATGTTATTTTTTTGATATGTTATATTTTGAATTATTATAATTATTTAAATAAATATTTTTGTATAATATAGTTTTAAATGGAAAATTTCAACGTTGCAGAGTTTTTTGTGCTCAATCGTGTCTCAGCCATAAATGCAACTACAACCTTGTATATTTCAACTACGGACCGTACCTATAATTTTTTTCTAAAATTACAATCCAATCGATAATATCACGTTATCGCCGGACGACTATAAATAATAATAATAATCGTTGTATCTGATTTGTGTCAGCATCTTACGAAACGAGGTACCATATACCATGGTTCGGGTCGAGGCGACGAAGCGTCTATGCCAACATACCTACAGGCTGCAGCTATACTTACGTACTTGTCACGTGACAGGACGTGATTATATGATGTGATCGACGAGGTGGTCGGCAAGGACCGGATCGATCATCCTGCAGGCTGCTCTGTCTCGCACGATTTCGTCTGGAAGTCTACGTAAATGTGTCGTTCAATGTCGTCATCGTGTCCTACGCAGGACGTAAGTACCTATAACACTATATTATAATTTATCTCAAAAGTCTCACCTAGAAACCGGAAATCGATGCGGCTTGGCGGCGAGAATATCGATCGAGATCTATTTTCCAGGGCCTTGGCGCACGCTAGTCGACAATATAATAATAAAATATAATAATATTTTATATACACCCTCAACGTTCTCTGGGAGACATGCATCGTTCTCGTTGTGGATTTCATTATTATTGACGACATATACGTACATAATACACATTTTATATTTTATTATTATTATATATTATGTAGTATTATATGGTGGCGCAAATTTTCTAAAGCGTCCGTGAAAGCCGTATATTTCTTGTGTGTGAGTTTGGCACATGGATTTAGTCATCAAGTGTCAAATAATAATAATAAAAAAAATATATATACTATTTTCCTCAAGTCTATACGATAAAAGTGGGGTTCATAAATGCAATAGTTACTATAAAACTCGAGGCCAATAATTGAAGTAATGCCGACTAAATTGAGTCATTCACCTCTATATCCATTGCACTCTTTTTCTTTCTTTTTTCTTCTTATTCTTTTCTTCTTTTTTTCTACTCTTCCCTTCCCCCGAGCACCGATGGTTTTTACTGTCACTAAAACGCGACGCCAATTCTTTTTTCTCCAAATTGTATTTTTAATAGTTATATTACCTTTGGCGTTCCGCCGAGAACTTCGGTTGATTCTCCCTTTGATGTCAATTTAAAAGAAGGCTATATGATAGTTAACTTTAAATGAAATAATAACGGTAATTATTGTACTAAATGTTATTGTTATTTTACGGACATTTTTATAAAATAAATGATAAAACAAGAAAACGATATTAGTGTCCATCGATCCATCAACAGTAGTAATACGATGCATCTTTAACAGTTTATAATTATTTTATCATATATTATTAAAAATAGCTTTCGACGTAAACGCACGGTAGTAGGTATATATTCGCCGTGGTTATTCGGTTCGATATTACTTTTATTTTACTTGAGTTGCCGAAACGTAAGATGTACAGTTCACTATCAGGGGTAAATAAATCTTGTAGTTCGACAATATTAAATATAGAAATAATACTATACCAAATAACTTCAGAGATCGACGGCGTTGATGGTGCTGGTGTCTGTTTCTTATTCTGGTGGCGGAGATGGTGGAGGTGGTGTTAAGAAAGTCTACACGCAGCGTGAAACATATAACGCAGAAGATACGATACCGGAGCGCTAGTTCTCGTGTCCTCTGGAGGTTTATGCGTAGACCGCATTCGGGATGCATTTTATTTTTTCAGGGGGATGAGTGGCACGGCAGTCGGCCAGGGGTGACATACCCTTTGGATTTATGTGCTACCGACTACTAAACACATAAATCTGCTGTGCGATAAAACCGTAGTAGAGCCGTTCGAGAAGAGAGTGTACACGGTAAACGCTGCTGTAATTAAATGCTTTTTTGGTCACAATATTTATTCTGCCACTATACAACTGATAGCAGCCGCAGTGCTGTGAGGAAAAAGAACCCGTCTTCGTTTTTTTCACTCCCCACACATGAACTCTGCCAATCCCATTGCTATTTCGACGATCGCCAGAATTGGAAACCTATTCATTTGACACAAATGTGTTCATAAATAAGAAACGTTTAAACGACTGTCGGCGAGAAATAAATACTTTTATACTCGATGGGCACACGTGATAAAATTAATATGAATATCATCGACGTTCTACGAAAACAGACGAGTTAAAAACCCTATAATTATGTATTTGAATTTCAGTTTTATAAATATCTTAATCTAGTAAAATCAAAATGTTTTTGAATCAACTCCGTACGCGTAACTATATCTCCATTTAACTATAATATTATTCCTTAATGAAAGAAGATTGGTATGTAGTAGGATGAAATTGTATGGTATAATTATATTAATTTTCTAAAATACAGAAATCAGAATATTTTAATAATCATGAAAATTGTAACAATAAGTAATAACTATATTTGTTTAAATCAAATCATAAAAAACATTCAGACGGTCGGGAACGTTCTTGAAAATGACAAAATAAGGATGTGTACTTAAAAAAATAATTTAAATCTAAATAGTTCTTATGGTGTATTGTACTAATGTACTGATACTATACTCATTGTAATAACAATCTATTATTCTATAATTGGCTGTACCTTATACTATATAATGTATACATTAATAGGGACCTACGGCTTACGCATTATGCATATTATATAGCTGTATTATAATCTGAGCTAAATTAGGTACCTATGTTCTTCTCGGAATCGATATTCATGCCTTAGATCACGCGACGCTTAACCCTTATATTTTGCAGCGAACACTCAAATGCCGATAATTTAAGAACAACGAATAAATTACGGTCAAACAATGACGAACAATGACGAATATTATAAACACGGGCCGTGCGTAAAAGAAACATCGGTAGGTATATAACTATAATAATATTATGATTGTATACGATATACGCTTGTTTCACATAATATAATGTTATTATCATTACTGTTATTACTTTTGGGCTCAAAATTCGGTCGTACACCATTTCAGTCGCCAGCCGCGTTCAGCCGCTCGTTTTACTACCCTCTCTAATTCCGTCTACATTACCGTAAAACAGTATATATCGCGTGATGCGTCACAACAACTGTTCCCTGCCAGTTATTCGATACTGTGTCGTGCGAGCAACCCACCCCCCCCCCCAAAAAAAAAAACGACATGACATTATCGCCGTGCACTTAGATTCGATTTTTACGCGTAAAACGTTCGGTGTTTTTTTTTTGGTCTTCGGACGAATTTTCGATGACTTTAATGCATAGATAATTGATTCCCGTTGCTGCAGTTTGAAAATAAACAACAACGGGGAGGCATAAACTCCGAATGTCATAGTATAAAATTATTATCAATGATAATTTTTCAAAAACATATTTTAATATTAGAAAAAAATAATTTAAACGCTCCAGAAGTTTATGATGTAATGTTAAGTTTAAGATCTCAAATTTTAAATCGTAAAAATGATAATTTCTTTGGAATTGCAGTAACTACACGATTACCCAATCTTACTAGTAAAGAAAACGATGTATTTAAATCTGATGCTCTACATACTTACAAACGTGCATTAGAATACCTTGAAAAATTGTTTGATTATGAAAATTCTCCATTCAAAATGTTTTCGTGTTTGAAATTAAGTGAATTACCTAAATTAACAGATTTACTCAACCTAGCCAAATTAATTAAGGATCATATCAATGGAGATGAACTGTATGAAGAGCTTAATTTGATAAAGTTATTACCAAATGATATCCTAAATAACACAGAATTTACTAGTTCGGAAAAATGGGTAACATTTTTCCAATCATCTACTGCACAATTAAAAAATATTAAACAAATTGTACAGTATGTATTCTCGGTGCCGTGTAGCAATGCATTTGTTGAACGCGTTTTTAGCCACATGAATAGTTTGTGGACAGACGAGCGCAATCGATTAGGAATTGATACAGTTAAAGCCGAACTAGTCATAAGAAATAACATAACATTCAATTGTTCAGAATTTTTTGATCAAATACAAAATGAAAAACATTTATTAAACGCCGTGAAAAATGCCGCTAAATATAAATTTAAAAGTTTACAATAGTTTATTTATAATAGTTATTATATTAATTTATAAGTTTATAATTAAAGTTTACCATAATGTAATATTAATATTATTAAATTTTTCATTTCGTTTTAACGTATGCAATTAATTATATTATTCGTCAATTTATTATATTAATATTAAAAATTCACTGAAAATTATGACCTTTTTTTTTTTTGCACACTTGGGCCGATATTTTCTAAATCCAAAGTTGCAACCCTAATATCATAGCACACTGCAGTGATGTCTACTGCTTTTCCCGTTTACTGAAACGCGGGATAACGATAAACTCCCGTGGTATAGCTGGTTAGCAATCAGTGGTTACCCTGTATATTATTAATACTATTATATAGATAATAATATGAGGATGTTCGCATAATATATTTATAATATTATTTAGTTCAACGGGCGCAACATCAATCCAGCCACATCTGCCAAAGGGCCCATCATTCGTTATTATATTATTACTATATAGTATTATTAAACTATATTACATCAGCTGTGACGAGATCCATGTTTTGAAAATATCAGTGGGAGAAGTGCAGGTCCCGAATAAAAAATATAAAATTATATTTTTACATATTGTAATTAATTTTGGAATCGTAATATTACATTTTGTATGCTCGTGTAGAGCCAAAACAATTTTACGAATTCAACATAACGTAGTTTGTGATGTTTAAAACAAGATTGTTACATTTTTTCTTGAGATTGACGTTTGAAATTTGGTTTTTACTGTTCATTTTGGTACTTGACGTTGACGTATTTTAAATCTAGCAGGTATAATAACGGTCAAGAATAATAATGTGATAGTTTTAAAATGTATTCCAACTCCGTTAGACAGTAGAAATACACATTTAAATTGACATTTTGTCGGGAAATAAACTGAATTAAATATGGGAAAAACTTTATTTTGAACCTATCGTAATATACCTATAGTTATTTATTTGCGAGAAAAATAAAAAGTTAATAACAAGAACCATATTCGTATAATAAAGAGCGTTTATACGATGTTGAAAACGAGGATGAAAATGTTCGTAAAAATATGGTATTCGTACTATCATTCAATTTCATTATAAAACTGTACTTGGTATATCTGCAAGGGTCGGCCATTTATGAAATAACAAGGTCTGACTAGAAACAACTCGCAATATGAATGCTTTTATTATTACACTTATATACAAATTCTTGTCACGAAACTTATTCTATTCGAGAGTAATTTTTGTAATTTATTTAAAAAATAAAAACATACGCATAATATAATATATACACACCTATAAAAAATGTCCAGTCATAAACTTTTTATCATTATCATATTATAGATGTTGTTTTATATTCCCCAATGTTATTTACCGGGAACGGAAGCGGTAGTTCCTCATTATTGAACTGCGAAATTTGACGTTTTTCACGTGCAACTGGGGAATAAATCATATCTAACCACGACTAAAAAAGGGAGATTGCCACCATTTTGTTTTTATTATAATTTACATTCGTTTTTGAAATATTGTTGTATAATAAAGTAATAGCTGTCAATACACACAACATATTATTATGTATTGTATAGTGTGTTTTTATCATGAAGTTATATACTAATGTAAACAAATATGTTCAATACAGTACCTATAATTCAGATATAGGTAATATTATTGTTGTTATAACAAATTATAAATTTTAATTAAGAGCTAATTGGATTTTTGTAGGGTGAAAAAATTTACAGTTCATATTTTCAAAAAGAAATTGTTGATTTAAAAGAATTGGGTTACGTGAATTGCGTCACATTTTCTTAAAAACTAGGTGAAATGCATATCCGTTGTATTTTATACAAAGAACAAATTTCTGTTTGCCCTGAATGCTATGTGTTTTGTATTGGTTTGTGAAACGCATTGTTATTCTATTATATTATTGTGCCTGTGATATATTTTCAAAGGTGTTCTTTTACAAAAGTGTTCGTAAGATCATCTCAGAAAAACTTTGAACTGTAACAATCGTGTGGAAGCTTTTTTTCTCACTTATTGGCTCGCGAGTTACTAACTTCTTTTACGATCATGCACATAAACTATGGTCAAAACACCACTTTCTACTAGGAACACGACGTGTCGTTTTGATTCAAGGGCTGGATGGTATATTAAGAGAGATTTAATACAAAATAAACGCTCAAATTGGATTGTCGAGCGCTAGAAAAAAATAAAGAAAAAATAAGAGTAGTTACAAGACAAAAATAATCGTTTTCCCGGTTACAGTTTTATAATAGGTTACTGTCGACCACGATGTCAACAATATTCTTCTTTGGCCGAGTAAACGGGTAAAACTCTTTTTAGACTCTTTTGTCAATAGTGTGTCATCGCCGACCGGCCGTTACGGGCTGAGTAAAATGTTTACAACGCAATATTGTAAAGCAAATTCTGCGTTTGACATTTAACACTCAATATTTTGGTTTAAGCTACTGACGGAGGTATTGGAACAAATAACTGGATTTATATTAATATATTATTATTGCGAGATAATTAGAAACTATTTCTGTTACGGAAATATTTCCGTTATTTTCAAATAACTCATCATACTCAAATATTAGTACATTACACTAACTTAACGAACGTTTGTGTAAATATGTTAATTTAATTATTTGAAATAAAATGTATTTTTAAGAGAATATTATGCCTATGATCACGAGATCTGTAAGTTAAAATTATAATTGTGAATATATATTAAGGTCAGGAATATATTATTATATTATTTTTAAATTAATATTTTTTATGAATAATACATTTTTATTTTATGGTTGTACGTGGTGAATTTAAATCATCTGACCACGCCTAGTTAAATAATATGCAAATCATAAAACAGAATACTCTATAAACAAACAAAACCATACAATACGTTGATAAAGTAGGTAGGTACCTAACGAAATATAATCCCGAATATGATATAGTGTTATTTATAAGGAATATCCATGTCACATATTTTATAAGCAACGCAAATGCATCGTTATGCTTCTCATATAAATAAAATAAAATTATTAGGTTCATATCAATCATAACAATATAAATATTTTTCATTTATCTGTCGGTTTGTTAAGACATTCATAGTGTATATTATTGTGAATTTAAAAAATAATAATTATACAAATTAGCTCGATCCAACCACCAATAAGTAAGAATCGATTAATTATTATATTTACTATTTTTTTTAAATGTATCTTACCTAAATTGTTACAATGAACATACTATATGCAGGTAAAATTATAAGCATAGAAAATTGTAATTTATTTTTATAACTTTATTGATGCGTCTTACAATATGCGATTTTAAAAATGAAATATAATATAATACAATATGTATTTTATTATTTCTTCACTATAACAGTATATTAGAGGTTATTACTTTCGTTTTACGAAGTCAAACATTTTTATTGTAAATGAAGGTAAATATTATTTTGTTTACTATTGAAAATTATTTTATAGGCATTTTTTACTTCCGTCTACATCCCAGTTTAATATAATAATCTCGTAACAAGCTGAACTTTTGTATTCAAATTGTATATAACATGATTCATTCAAAACACACACTTCTTACAATGTTTAATAATATAGGTAATGTACCAAAAGAAAATAAATATATTTTTTAAATTAATACGTACTTACTTCAGGTTATGGCTGTATGGTTACATATTTTAAACAGCAAGTTTTTTTTTATCACATATACCGGGCTTATTATAAAATCGTAGTACAATATTTCAATATAATATAAAATATATAGGTAGGTAATAAAAGTTGCATAAACGTAACAAGTAACAATAATAATTTTTGGAATCATGCTAAATATTATTTTAAATGGATGTAAATATTCTTTGATGGTATAAATCGATGATTGATGGTAGTATGAGTGTTTTCTAAAAATATTTTAAATATATATTTCAATCGACAAATTCTATTTGATTTTAGTGCACAATAACACTGTTCATAAGAACGTTTTCAAAAAGTTCTTAACAGTGTTATTCGAAAAGTTTTTCATAATCGAGCAGTAATGTATTATTAGTTAAATGAAAAATTCAACTAGAGTAGGTATTATTTTATGCTGTTAGTATAAGAACTAGCAAACTAGTTAACATTTTAATTTTACAATAAACTTTGTAGAATAAATTATTTTGAGTTTTCATCATCGGGTACGAAGTTTGTTCTGAGTAAATGTCATAAAGATAAAATTGGATTTAAAAATTAGGTTAAATACTTAATAGAAGAATTGATTTAATATGGTTAACTTAGAATAATATTAATGTAAACAGTTTCGCATTTTAGATAGTATGAACAATTAATTATGGGTAAATCTTGTAAAATCAATATACATACATATTATAACAAATATTTTATTGATGGATACAACAAGTATCTTATTAGTTGAGTATATTATAATTATATAATTTATCATTATATTAACCTATAGCTATCGGTATAAATATAATATAATATCATATTGAGGTTATATATATTATAGGTACGCTTACAATATAAACCTATAAATAGCTCAGGTGGATATGACTATTATTGTAGCCACTTAAACAATTCTCATCATTGGAACTTAGATGAAAATAGAGGGATATAGGCCTATAACTTTTTTGGTTTTTACAAGGTACTCATATTTTATCAATCTATAAGCTGTTTTTGAAATACACCTATTGTTTCTAATTTTCTTAAATTAGAAAATTATTTGATCATGAAGAAACTTGAAGATTTTACATGCATGTTGAGTGTTTCTGACTTGTTGAAAATTTGTTGTATCCATATAATTTTTTTCGGCGGATAGAGTGGAATAATTAGGGATGAAAGTTATAATTGAAGCTTTAGTCGTAGAGCGTCAACAATTTTAATACGTCTCTGGATGAGAGCCTCTCAATCCAATATTAATTGAATAATACACTTGGCACACGATGGTTTTTACACAATTTGTTTTTAACATACTCATGGAAAATATATTGTTAATTTAAACAAGTCAAAGTTAAATATATAA